AATGCTGTAGGTTGCCGACGAATACATTTCGGGCCTCGTACAAACAAGGTTGACTTTCGGTGTCCGACGAACACATTTCGATCAAATGCTGGGCTGCCCTCGTACAAACAAGGTTGACTACTGCGGGCCGAAAATTGTCCAACACAGCGGTGTCCGACACAATTTGGCACGCAGTAGCCAACCTTCCTTTTCTGTGCCCCTAAGATTGCTGTGCGTGGGGAGCCGAAGTCCACGTCACCCTGCCCTGCAACAAACACTTTTCACCACAGGTTGACAAAATTTTTGGACTTATTCTCTCACGTGTACGGAGCAGACGTGGGAGACCGTCGATTAAATGTTGGGCTGCCCTCGTACAAACAAGGTTGACTACTGCGGGCCGCAAATTGTCCAACACGGCAGGGTCMGTCACATTTTGGCACGCAGTAGCCAACCTTCCTTTTCTGTGCCCCTAAGATTGCTGTGTCCCATTCTATATAAGGCGATTTGGCGTGGGTAGCCTCAGTCCACGTCACCCTGCCCTGCAACAAACAAGTTTCACCACAGCTTGACAAAACACATTGTCGTGTCATGTTACCATTACAGAGTCAGCCGCACACACCACTCAATCGCACAAAGATGAGCATTACAAATGTTTGTACAATTTTGTATAAAAAATAACAGAAGTTGTGTAGTTATCAAACTGTATGGAGCATACGGCTCGCAATCCTCAGGCGGTGCTTGTGCGTGCAAGCACTCGCTCTCTCTCTCTCTTCTGCAAAACAGAAGGTCTTCATATCTTTCTTTCTCTCTCTCTCTCTCTCTCTCTCTCTCTTTATATATATATATATATATATATATATATCCTGCACCGACTGTGGCCTTCGATTTTGCATCTCCTGGTTCGAAACGTTTAAAAAAATAACCTTTCGTTCCACCGTTTGGCCATTGCCCCGCATCCTCCCTTCCATGTCGAAATGTCGCCAAACTGTCCCTCGTTGTTCAGGGTGCGGCGCACAGACTGTCGGTGCGCCTGTCCCCGTCTCCGGCTGCTGTACTCTGAGGGAGAATAAACTCGATGTCGTAATCGTCATCCGTTATTGTGGTGCTTGGAGGCCCAGGCCTGTGGACAGACAGTGTGCCAGAGCGAAAGAGCGTTGCTGCCTTCTCAACCACGGATACGGAACGGTCCAGTTTGAAGACGGAAAAACTCATTACCGTGTCTCGGCTACGGAGAGATGAGACGATTGCCTGCTTTATAGATACCAATTTTTCTATCTGCTCCGCAGCTTGTGTCGTCTTCGTTGTCTGTTCTATCTCACATTGAATGACCATCTCCGCAAAAGCCAGTTGCTGCAGGGTGACGCCCAGGTTCCGGCCTTCCTTCCTCATCTGAAAAACTTTTAAGAGTGCCGTCTTGAAGGCGGGGGCGCCCCACTGATCGTCGCCGCTCCGTCTCCACGTCTTGTTCTTCTTCATCTCGGTGCGCATCTTGTTGCGAGCGGGGAGGTGGTGGTCCGTTTGCTGCGTTCCGACGAGCGGAATCCCTTTTTCAGCCCAAAACCAATGTTTCAGCTGCCATGTAATCTCTCCGCGGATCGTCGTCATCATTCTGTTGCATTCCCCTATGACAGCTTGAATCCCGCACTCCGCTATGTGAGACCGCAGCCCTTCCTCTGCTGTCTCCCCTGCCAGTTTCGCCGTAGCTTGCACCGCCACGAAAAACGCGTCCTCTGTCGGGTACAGAGTTGCGTCGTTTGCCGCAGAGAACGCAAAGGCTTTGGCGATGGAACGCAACAGCTTTCACTTCATTTTCTTCGCGAATGCGGCGCCCTCGTCCTTCGGTCCTTGCACGGGTCCGCCACTTGCGCGCACTTTCGTTCGTGACGTTGCGATCGGTGGGAAACAGAAGACACAACACACAGGAGAGTGTTAACAACTCAGCGCCTTGTTTTGAATACAGCACTTGCAAAATTGAAGATTCGACTATCAGCTGTGCGTTTACAAAGACACTTCTCCATGCGTAAAGGCATGCACCGCGTGGGGGCACGGGATTATGTGATCGGAGTGGGAGGGGAGTCAGTGCGACGCGGGGTTTCTTACCTTTTCCGGCGGCGCTGACGTGCTGTACGATTTGTCTGTCACCGACACGCTCCTCGGTGTCACTGCCATTGCGTGCCTGCCGTTCTCCTTCTCTGCACAGCGTCCTCGAAGGAAATGGCAAACCACCTCTTTCCGAAGCGGCGCTCTGGTCTTCGCCGGTTCTCTCGCTGGCCGACTTGCCGTCGCTGTCGTCATCCTCATCGGTGTCGTGCGATTGTCTGCGGGAAGAATCGTTGTCGTCTCCCTCGTTTTCTGGCTCCTCGTCCTCCGCACCATCTGACTTCTCTGGCGTGGAACGGTCGTGTTCCTCCTCTTCTTCCACTTGGGGTCCGCTGTGCCTGTCGTCAGACCCTCTAATATCGATTGTCTCCACTGTTCTGTCGTCTTTGTAGGATATTCTCTTCTTTGTTCAGCGGTGCGTAGTCGCGCTTTTATCATCCCGCGATTTTTTTTCCGGGGCCCTTGGCGGACGGTTTTCGGCGCCGCTTCCTCGCTTTCCCCGGACGGGGGTCGAGGGGGGCGACTCGTTACGTTCTTTCAGCGTTGAAATCTCCCGTGCACTCGAAGGGACTGTAACTTTCGATCCGGATTTGCGGCTGTGCTTGTGCTCCGTTTTCCCAGAGGGGCCGGCGCCGCTTCTGCGATGCTCTTTCGACTGCTTCTTTTCGGCCCTTGATTTCTTCCGGCATTTGTCCTTCTTTTCCGCGGCTTTCAAAAACCTGCACAGATCATCGTATTTTGGCCTTGGAGCCATCACCCTTTTTTCCCCACATGCATCAAAGTGGAAAAAGAACCACAAGTGCGTCAGTGATGTTGTTTGTCACGCAGAGAGAGAGAGAGAGAGAGAGAGAGAGAGAGAGAGAGAGAGAGAGAGAGAGAGATAGAGATTTAAAATTGCGAAGTCATTCAAGTGAGCAACCTCTTTGTGCGTCCGAGTGATTGCATTTGTATTGTCAGGTGGCAGGAGATCGCATAATCTGGGAACAAAAAAAAATTATAGAAAAAAAAACATCGGAATAGTTGCCTCGTCCATCATTGCGATAAGGTTGGCTACTGCGGGCCAATCATGTCCGCACATCCCACATTTCATGTCATTTTGGCCCGCAGTAGTCAACTTTCCTCGCATCGCGTTCAATGACCTGGACAACATCTCATTCCATGGAAGTGTTGCTCTCTTTTCTGTTTATTATGCTTTGCAACGCTGCGGCTACTTATGAAGCCGCTAAAGTGTCGTTGCCTTTTGTGACTGCAGCACAGGTAGCAAGCCGGTCCACCATCGACTTGCGAAATTGTCGAACAGTTCTTTCGTTCACCGTTGTAGTTTTGATAACTTCCAGTACGTCCTTGGCCGTCAGATCCTTTGCCGCAGTTCTTCCAAGAAATTGTATTACGGTGGTAGCGATACAACACACATAAACACCACAGTCCGTGTGATTGTTCTGTTGCGGGCATTCCGCATGCACAAGTTTACTTCCTGCCAGATCCCTGCATGTCACCCACGAAAAATGAACCTTTTCGGGTGTCAAAGCCTGCAAATTCGATGCCTCGTGAAGGTACTCGTGCCACAAAAGTGTTCCCAACGCCGTCCATTCGTCTCGTTTTTTTTCTCTCATTGAGTCAACGACGATAGCAATGGGAGGGTCGGATATGCGTTTGTCCGCAGTGACCTCCAAGAAGGACCTCGCATTCAACAACAGAAGAAAAATCCAGTGTTTGTTACGGTTCACTGGTATCACAGTGACCGGCGCGTGTCGCAGTTCGTTGCACAGTCGATGCAATTTCTGTGGTCTCTTCTTAATTGCGTCCTCCCATCCTTTTTTCGTCAATTTTCCAAATTTTTGATTGGCGACGACCTCGGGGTGCCAAAAAGTTGTGCAGACGTGAACATAAGACCTGTCCTAGCCCCGTCCAACCTCTTCATACACAGACTGCAAATAAATGTCAATAATATTGTCGTTCAGCCATCCGTCGCCCGACAACCGTTCAATGTCGGATTTTGATACGGGTATGGCGTGTTGCGGAGATTTCCATGTAAAAGGGAACAATTCGACCACGTCAGTGATGTCGGTCTGCTCATCTCTCGCTCTTGTCTTGTCCCCTGCTTTCCGTTTTCCCATACAACAGGAAGATCGTTCCCCGCAGGACTGGGGCCACTCTGCTGCACCCTCAGTCAGTAAATCGTACATTTCCACGCACCATGGGTCTGATAACATGTCCTGCCATCTCTGTGCTGACCTCTGGCTGCTCGATGGCAACAACGGTTTTCCCTCCCTGATACCATTACTCGTTTCGATGCGCTGGTATGGCCCCTTCACAGCGGCCGACCAATTACTACTGTTGTGCGACTCTGTCATCGTTGATCCCCTTCTCTTACCTGCACCCTGTTACTCTGTGTTCCGTGTCGCTTCTCCCCTTTCGCCCCCTCCCCGCTTTGCGGCGTCGCAACTTTGTATTCATAATCACACACGTAGGGAGAGGCAGAAGACACAGAGGATTAGTTATGTTTTTTAGCAACGACGAATGGTTTTTGTCGAGATGCTATAATTTGTTTTTTTTTTATTTGTTTATTTTCCCTTTGCAGATAGGTGGGGACGAGAGAGTTCGTGCCAGAGAGAGAGAGAGAGAGAGAGAGAGAGAGAGAGAGAGAGAGAGAGGTTGGCTACTGCGTGCCAAAACTGAATCAAATGTCACTGTTGACGACGTGAATGTCACGCAGTAGTCAACTTTTGGGGACACTTTCGTTTCG